CCAGATCTACCAGCTTGTGCATATAAAGATCAAACTCCTTTCTTCTATAGGGATAGACCGCACAGATGACATCCCGGTAAATACCAAAGGCCCGTACAAACTCGGGGATAGTCAGTTTCCTGTTTAGGTGGGCGTCCCTAGATCTGACAACAACAGACACATCATCAGAAGCATAAGTCTTATTTTCGACAATATCCTGGGAGGCAATCAGCAGGGAGGCTAGGTTTACGTCTTTACATTCCAGGATATCTCTTTTTATGTGCTCTGGGATCATATGGGCAGGGCTAACTTCCTGGTCATCCGAGGTGATGGCTGGAGGAATCGATAGCAAGTCGGCTGGTGCTTGTGAAGCAGCAGCGGGTGGCCCTGCTAGAGTAAGGACCGTGGTGAACGACTCAAGTTTCTCCAGCCTGGAGTTGACCTTGCTCATGGACGCCATGAGTGAAGATAACATGGAATGTATGTCTCCTGGGTTGGACTGGCTAGGTCCTTCCCGGGGATCCATGTTGAGGTATGTAGCAGTTTGAAAAGTTCTGCTTTCCTTGCTGTAGCGGGGTAGGGGATTTGCCGCCTCCTTAATTCCGTAGTGATACGAGGGATCATCCAGGATCTGATGGATGCTGGACTATTTACCTCTCCTCTTGTGTAGGAGTGAAAGCTCTAGCCGGAGTGCTAGGCAGGGAGAAATCCTCTACCCCTTCCTGAGACATACTATAACCAAAACAATTAATTAGTGTATGAAAAACCACCAAAATCGTACTGGCAGGCTAGCTAAGCCGGATGGCGAAACATTACACTTGTTTGGTGACAGGTGAGGCCCTACTAGTTGCCAAGTGGCTTGAGAGGCTATATCTATGCGTTGGCGTGAGGGGATTTGAGGCCACCCGTCGTAGTTCAGGAATTTTAGGCCTCTCAGTGACTGTAACATAGAAAAACAGGGAAAGGGAGTGACAGGTGAGGCCCTCTCTATGCAACATGCGAGGCGGCTAGCTAACGTGTGGCCCGATGGGTGTTTGCCTCTGAAACGTTGAGGCGGGGTGTTGGCCTCGTGGGACCACTAACTGATGGCAATGCCAAGAAGGGGTAAATACCTATTGGGAAGCCTATGACCCTATTGCCAGTACTCTAACCTAGGGGGGGGAGAAATTAAATGTATGGCAGAATACCATATGAGCAGGTGTACGTACCTGGTAGTATGAATATCTCACAGGAAACCGTGTGGTGAAATATCTATTTAAACCTGGACAGCCTGAAAATGGGTAAAAGAGTGTAGTATAGTGAGTATGGACTGTGTGGGAATGAAGTAGACTGTGTAGCCCGTACCGGTGATGTTTTTTAAGGCTTGATTGGCGTATTACTTGGTAAATGAAGTGTAGTGATATACCATGAGAGTATAAATGTGTTACCAAGGGAAAGTGATGCCGTGTCTTTAAAACACAGTTCTGTATAAAACAGTGGGGAATGTATGATGGGTGTCAAGTAGAAAAAGAACATGGGTGAGGGAGGCCGTGGCCTATATTTAAACAGCGTTATGTTGATATGTAATAGAATAACAAAAAAGGGGCAGGGATACACAAAAATGCTTTAAAGTGATGTAAAGTTATATATATAATATAACCTTTAAACAGTAATGGAAATAATCTGTCTATTTAACCAAGCAATTCGTTACACGAATGGTATATACATGAAATGGTGAATGTAATCCACGAAAGGATTTATGCGTAATACATAGAAATAAAACCAAAACCCAATGTGAGGGAAAACAGAAGTTGGAACGAATAGTTTAAACGTATGAATTTTATGCGTACCGCAAGCGTGTTTAAGCGTATCATGAAAAAGTGCCGAACGGCAAAACAACCGAACTGATAACTTGTTTCACTGTAACACGGAATAGTTAAATGGGAAATGACCACTTATACGAATATACTGATTAGCCGAATGACCGACGAAATGAAAACCGCGAACGGCTTGTTCAATTTGTGACATAACAGAGGAAAAAGGTAAAGCGAGGACCCGTGCTGTACCGTACGCTGTGGGAACCGATCCTGGCGTGACAGGTAGGTCTAACTTACGGTTTAGGAGTCCCTGGGACGCGATCTACGACGATGACCGGGGTCAGAAGAAGCTGGACGGACAGAAAAGGCCTGAAACAGGATTCCTGGACACAGCTTGCCGCGGAAAAACCTCGTGGATATACTGAAAAACCAAGATGGCGTCTGAGAGAACCCGGAAGTGGATCCTCATTCAACGCTTACCTCGAACGGTAAGGAGCAAGGTAAGGGGTGTGCCTTAAGTAGGCTAGGAGTGGATACCAAGCACCACAAATCCAGGCAAAATTGCCTTAGTATATATATATATATATATATAGTAAGACAGGAGTACTCACTTGGATTTTCAAACTGAAAATCCAAGCGAGTGCTCCTGTCTTACTTTGTTTATCTATCGGCATGGAGGCACCCGGGTTATATTGCTTTGATTTATTTGTTTGGGTTGAGTGCCAGAGTCTGGACTTTATTTATTTATTTATATATTGTGATAAAGTGAAGGTAGAGAGGCCTTTAACATTTAACCCCAGGTGAAGTACGTGTTGTATGTGTGGTGTGCAACACAAAGCTAGGTTTAGTTATGGGCCCCTGGGGTGAAGCATTTGGAGAGCAGGGTGGGCCAATGCTCCACTCCTCAGTTTATACACAACTAGGAGAAATCAGGTCAAAGCAAGAGTTTTTTGGAACTGTCTCCAACCCACTGCTCAGCTGCAGATATTCAGCTGTAGCAGTGGGAATAAACCCCAGGTAAAGGGGGGATTGCTGGCTTGCTCCCTGGAAGCAGGTTGGAGAGAGGCTGTTCTCTCCAGTGAGAGAGTCAAGGAGACTGAGCACTGGGAGTGCAAAAGGAAAGCAGTCAAGGCTGGCTTGGAGCACTGGGAGTGCGGAAAAGAGAGAGAATTGTGTTTATTTCTAGAAGGAATGGAAGCCACATGCTAACCGAGTGTTGTAACGGCACCCTCAGGCATAAAAGGGTTAAACCGCCGTTTAGTAGATCTTCCCTTCCAGAGACATAGGCACAGCTACTGCAGAACACCAATCCGCCGAACAGGAAACCATATGAATGCTGTAAACAGCCGAATAGGAAAATAAACACATACAATACACTCAGACACTCCCACACAAAATCCTCCCCTCTGCCTGTGATACAATTACCTTACACAATGGGTAATGTAATTATAACAAGCAGAGAAATACAATTTTTCCACATTATTCATAACTTGAAAAGTATGCATCACATTTACATTTTCAGAATCAGCATACTCCAAATACAAACATATGTCAGAATCATCCAAATTGGTCCAGTGGTTCAAAAGATAGATCGTAGTCCTTTGTGACCAAAGGAAGCATGGCTTTTCTGCCCAAAACCAGTTCCACAGAGTCTTCTATCCTGGAGATAATTGTGAAGTAATCCAATTATCTCCAAGGACAGAGGCAAAACTCCATTGAACACATATCAGTAAAACAGGTACATTCAACATATCCCCAGATAGCTCAGATCTGAGTGCCCATTATTACTGAATGGCGCTCAGAGCACACACATACAGTTCAATTGCCATGGAGCCAAAGTCTTTCCCATAGTCTTTCGTTATATGAATGGGCTCCATGGCATAGCTATCTGGGGTATCACTGCTCAAACAGGGCAAGCACCAAATGACACGAATTCCATGTCTTTGCAGGGGAAAATCAAGCCTTTTAACATGGGGCCATAATCCAAGGGCAACAGGCGAGCAACCAGGCTTCTCCAATGCAATGTGGCAAGATTGGTCTCGTCACAAGTGTGGAGTGCAGAGATCTGACAAAGGCACTAGGTTGGTGAACCCAAATATTATTTTGTTCAAGTTTAACCCCTGAGAGAGAGGGAATCTGATGTTAGTGCTCAGACGAGCTAGGGATTTGTGTTATTGTTTTTTTTTTATTTGCTGCTGTAGCTGTGGTGGAGTTTAACAATAAAACTGCCTGGATTATATGCAAACCAAAGGACTGTGCCTGTTGTTTACCCTAGAGGACCGTGCTACCTGCAGACAAGGATCACAATATATATATATATATATATATATATATATATTGTTGTGGACAAAAATATTAACCCAATTTATATTAGTAAAATGCCTATTTACTCAACATAGCTACAATCAGCATTATCCAATTTTCTATGTGATTATCTAAAATGGCCGCTAGGGAGTTTCCCCTCAACGTGGGGCACCGGGTCTCGCCGGTTCGGACGGCTGGAAACCGGGACCGGAGCGGACCTCCGGAAAGTAGGACAACTGGAGCCTGATCACCTCCTAATACAGCGGTTTGCCTGTATTTTCCTGTTTTGTGTCGGTCTGTCTCCGCGTCCACTTCCAGCTTCCAGAAGGCTACAAGGCAGGTAATCTCTTATCCGGTGCCTTTTTAACGAACCTGTCGATTGTCTATCTGCCTCCTGAAAGTTGTGTATGTGTGTGAGACAGCTGGTGTATGATTTGCATTTATTGTTATAGCTTGACTGCCTAGTGGGCAGGGAACGCATTTATTGTTATAGCTTGACTGCGTAGCGGGCAGGGAACGCATTTACTGTTTTAGCTTGACTGCCTAGCGGGCAGGGGACACGACTGCCTGGTAAAGGGCTGGGATTTTGATGACCACCCGGAGAAGGGTTGGGGTTTTTGTTGTCCACCCAGTAAAAGGCTGGGGTAGGCTAGAGAAAGGCTGTGAATTGTGTTGTACTGTTCAGAGCAGAACAGGGTTTATTTGTTATTCAACCATTGCTATGTTCACATTTTTATTGTTCCTTATTATACTTTGTTTCTTGCTCAGTTGTGGCCATAGTGTGGGTACCCTCATAGTGTGTGTGTGTGTGTTGTGTGGTTCGAACTTGATTCTGGATTATGTGCACATCTCCGTATTTGTGATTCTTGTAAATGTTTATTGATTAGTCTCGCTACGTTCACTTTCTCTTTAATTCTCTACCTCTCCTGTACTTGTTGCCCAGAGCTGTGTTAGTCACCCACGCTCGCCCGTACAGATCCGTGGCCACCATCTCGGGTGGGCGGATCCCGTGACTAGTCTACGTTTTGGGAAGACGCACAGGAATCAATTCCTCATGGCAGTCGAGCACTGTAGACATTCCTTCTTTTTCTTCTCCCTATCTCTTTCCTTTTTACGGGGAGAACCTTGTTTGCTAAAAATGGGACAGGAATATGCTAGACCTCTAAAGGGTCTCTTGTGACATTGTTAAAGAACGAGCAGGAGAGGAAGCTATGTTAAAAATGAAAAAGATAGCGAAAGTTTGTGGTTTTCAAATGTCACCCAGTGGTAGGTTACAGCCAGAGTTTTGGAGGAAATTGAAAGAGGGTATGTCACGGCAAGGGTGTATAATTTATTATTACACTATGGAATATCATCCTTTAATGTAATTTGTGTAGTAAATGGCACAAATTACAGAGATACTATTGCTGAGGTCAACAGGGGTTACATCTTTTGAAGCTGGGACCCCCACAGAGGTCAGATGACAGAAGGGGTAGTATGAATGGCATAGGAATGTGAAAAGGATTTTACTATATGGATGTGAAGTAATCAAGGCTCTGCAAGGTGTGAGGTTCTGCACTTGGAAAAAGTCTGAATGTCTCTTCATCCATTTGGCATGTACCTTGTAAAGGATAGTTCAATCCTTTGATGTGGCAATGGGATTAGTTTCATGAAGATCCTTGTGTTCCAGTATCTTATCCAAGTGAAACGTTAATACTTACCCACAGGTTAATAATTAAGCCTCATTTTTATCATATTTGGAATGGGACAAGCCCAATCTCTTAATTAAGCCTAAACATGAGTTGCACAACTTAAACCGTGTGGCAGGAATTGTGATGTCCGTCCTATTGGATCGTGGGCGGGGCGTGCAACATGTCTATGGAATGGGAAAGCAATAACAAATTCATAGAGGCAATTATTATTTCTGTGGCAAATACAGTAGAGAAGATAAAACCAAAAGTTTATATTTGGCTTGTTGTTTTCTGGAACAAAGAAGGTGGTCACTTAGTATCTCCATACTCCACGCCTTGGCTCCACCCCTGGGTGAGGCGTGGTAATTCACAGGGTATATCTCCTGTGATCCTGAAGGGTGCTGGTGTACTTGCTTGAGGCCAAGATCTAATTTTGAGTGAGTCACCATCTTTCCTTGCCAGAGACCCCCTGCACAGAAGTTGTACTTTGAAAAAGTGAGTAATTAGGACTTCTTTATTTTATCCTTTTTGTTTTTTATCTGTTGTTGGTGTAAATAATTTGTTTATCATATATTGTTATATGCACTGTGATTATTTTTTGCTCATAATAAACATTAATTTATTAAGTTTTGCCTTTGTCTGGTTAAGAATCACGTTACCTGAAGAGACTAGTTAGTATTTTTGCATTAAGTATTTTTGTATTAAGTAATATTTGGTGGGTTTTATTATTGATTTACCTGGGGGATCAAGGCACCCCATTTATAAATTGTCTTGGTGGTGGCAGCGTTAAAATAGTAATAGATATATTATTATGTTTAAGTGTGGGTGGTGTTAAAAGGGGGATTTTGTCATTATTTCCGGTCTAGTGCAGACAAATAGTGAACTTTAACCCTTTCACCACCACAACTACGTCACGCACACTCTTGGAGTAGGGTGCGTTCATGACAGGGTATATTACTAGACAATGGATTGATGAAAGCTGTAGAGGCTTGGTACCATGTAGCAAGAGGTCTCAAATGGGAGGGATGGTCAGAAGAGGAAATTGATTTTGGAGGGCAAACAATATTTGTGTATCACATAAATGTTTGTAATGATGATGATTCATCCACTGTTATTCCCCGGCCACCGCCCTATGATGGCGCCCAAAATGCCACAAGTGAACCATGTCCCGCCTCCTCAGACACTACCCCATCTCCGCCCCCCATTGTTCCACCCCCCGTTGCCAAAGGGCCTCCTACTCCCACCCCTCTGTACCCCGTCCTTGGTGCGGACGGATCCTACCATTATCATTTCCCTCTCCCACCGTCAGCCATACCATCCGCTCTTTCCGTTCCCTCCTCACTCCCAGCCTCTCTCCCTGCTGATGTTTCCTCACCTCCACTATCACAGGTCGTTACTGATGTCGCCCCCTCACCATCACCATCCTTCCCCATTCCTTTCCCCGATGCCGCTCCTTCCTCACCACTTACTACGTACCTCCCATTGTTCCAACTCCTGTTCCCACACCCCCGACATGCATTGTTCCATCCGAGACCACACTGGCCCCTCTCCCTGTTATCCCTTCTGCCCCAATTTCCTCGTTGCCATCACCCATGATGTCCCCAGCGGTGCCCGTGATTCCTCCCCCTATTGTTGCTCCTGCCGCTCCTGTCCCGATTTCCCCACTCCCTGCTGTCCCTCCGACTCCTGTCCTAGATTCCTCCTCCTTCCCATTTCCAATTCCCTTCCTTCTCCCTCTATTGACCTCTCATCCCTTGTCTCAGTCCCCACCACTGCCCTCACTCTTACTCCTCCACCCCTTCCCACTCCTCCTGCCCAGAACCTTCTCCACCCCCCGTATCCTCTCACCCTAGCTCCTATTTCTCCACCCCTTTCTACTCCCCCGTTTCCATTCCAGAACCTTCGTTGCCTCTCACATCCTCTGCTTCCCCCGACCTTTCCTCTCTCATTTCGACTCTTGCCGTTTCACTCTCTACTCCCCCTGCCCCCATTCCAGAGCCTTCACCTCCTGTATCTTCTCCTTCCCCCGATCTCTCCTCTCTCATCTCAGCCCTTGCCGCTTCTCTTAGTTCCACTCCTCCTTCCCTACTCCCTCCCATTCCTCCTGCTCCTGTTCCAGAACCTTCTCCTCTACCCGTACCCTCTCCTCCCCCTGATCTTTCGCCACTCATCTCCACCCTTTCTGCTGCGCTTGCCTCTAATTCCACTCCTGATCCTCCACCCTTTCCTACTCCTCTTGCCCCCGTAGTGGATCCTCCCTCCTCTCCTTGTGATCTTCCATTCCTTATCTTCACCCTCTCCACTCTCCTTACCCCTACCTCCACTCCCACTGTTCCATCCCCTTCCATCTCTACAGCTCCCATGTTAGAACCTCCTCCTCCCCTGATACCAATGCTACGTCACTCATTTCCGCCCTCCTAGCTTTGCTCACTACTCCACCTATCTCTCCTCCCCCTCCACCTCCTTCTCCACAACCTGCTCTTCCTGCTTCTGTTCCAGATTCCCCTCCCCCTCCTACTTCTAACCCTGACGTCTCTTCCCACGATCTCGCGTCACTCATCTCCTCCCTCTCCAATCACCTGTCTCAGCTTACTCAACCCACACCCTCACCCGCTCTGGTCCCCGTTCCTGCCCCTCCGATAAACACCCCCAGTTACCCACTCATGATTGTTGGGACAAATTAGTCTGTCACGTCAGGACAACCTCAGGCTGCTGATGCTTCCCCTGCTGCCTCAGGTTTCCATCCCACCACGTCTCAGTTAGTCACCCCCCAGACTATCGCTGTTGGCCCTCCCGGTTCCAATACCCTGATGGCTCCAGTCCCCAACTCACTTGATGTTGTTAGCTACCATGGTCTCCCAGTCCCACCTAGGGACGATAATGTGCCAGAGCTTAGCCCATTCCGCCCCTCAAATAACAGACCTACCCAGAGACAAGCCATTGCAGCTACTCACCTCCCTACCTCATCAGCAGTGGAAGGAGCCCCGCCAATGTATGTTACATTTAACCCATCCCAAGCTGCAACCTTGGTAACTTCTCTCCCCGATCCAGAGAAACAACCCATGCCCTTTTTCTGAAGAATTGCTCAGATTCGTAAAACATACTCAGCAGCCTGACGTGATTTGTATAGTTTATGTGAGATCAAGGCTGGGGATGCCTACTGGCCAATTATGGAAAGGAGTTTTAATGATGCAGTACTCACCACTGATATGGATTTTCAGTCGGGCATTGTTTTCTGTGAGCAACTCAAAGCCTGGGCCCAGGATAAACTGGCTGACCAGGCCACTTGCATAAATGATATCATACAAGACAAACTTGAGTCAGCAGAAAAATATCATTCCAGGTTAACCCAAACATTTTCTGATCTTGGATCCAGTGTATATAATAAAGCACATACTCAGATGTTTTCAGCCGCCTTTGTGGCTGGTCTTAAGGAGACTATCAGGAAAGGCTTAGTGCTTGCACGTCCTGAATACAGAATTATTCCTTTGAACACTCTCTTGTTGGTAGCAAAGGGTTTAGAATCAGTTCTGCAGCCAACACAGAAGAAAAGTAACCCACTCATGTTTTCTAACTCTAGCCCTACTATCAGACCCAGCTTGGGGCCCCAGAATCATCCCAGATTGGCTATTATGCCAGGTACACAAGGACAATCCCCAGCACTCAGACCTCTGGCCAGGGTATGCTTTAATTGTAACTTACCAGGTCATCTCCGCAAGAATTGCCCACATCCACAGATAACTCGCCCACCACCCATCAGACCTCCTCTGCACCCCAACACCCATACAGCTGCATATGGGGGTCCTCAACATGGTTTCCCTCCACAGACACAGCCACAAGCACCATATTACCCACTGCAGGATTATACCCAAGCTATTTATCAACCCAGTCAATTTAACACACACACTCCCCCAGGTACTGCCCATCAAAATCATCAAACAAGTCACCCTACTACACGTCATTACACTCAGGGCCGTCTTTAACGCGGGGCAAACGGGGCAGCTGCCCCGGGCCCAGTTGCTCCTGGGGGCCCAGAGCAGCTGCACTGTGGGCCCCGCGATTTGCGCAGCCCCTATGGACCGGGCGGTGCGGCTCCCGCACACTGAGGAGGCTCCCCGGGTGGCCCATGCACTAAGGGCCACCTGGGGAGCATGTGTCAGCAGGGGCCCGGTCGGGCGCTGTGGCGCTTAAACAGCGCGACCGGGCCCCTCTTCCGGTTCTGCAGCCAGCTGGGAGGAAGTGACGTCATTTCCTCCCACCAGAGATAGCCGCGCGGGAGGAGGAAGGCAGGGAGGAGGGGAGTTCCAGAGGAGAACTCCCATCTGCCTCAGCCTGCCACTGGACCAGGGAAACCACCCTCCAGGAAAAGGTAAGAACCTGGAGGGTGGCTAAATGTATGTCTGTGTGTGTATGCCTGTCAGTATGTCTGTGTGTGTCAGTATGTCTGTGTGTGTGTCAGTATGTCTGTGTCTGTATGTGTCAGTATGTCTGTGTCTGTCTCAGTATGTGTGTGTGTCAGTATGTGTGTGTGTGTCAGTATGTGTGTGTCAGTATGTGTGTGTGTCAGTCAGTATGTGTATGTGTGTGTGTGTCTGTATGTCTGTGTGTGTGTGTCTGTATGTCTGTGTGTGTGTGTCTGTATGTCAGTATGTCTGTGTGTGTATGTCTGTGTGTGTGTGTCAGTAAGTCTGTGTGTGTGTACGTGTATGTGTGTCAGTATGTCTGCCAGGATATATTTGTGTGTCAGTGTATGTGTGTGTCAGTATGTATCTGTGAATGTTTTAATGTCTGTCTGTGTGTATGTGCCAGTACGTCTGTCTGTGTGTATGTCAGTATGTCTGTGTGTGTATGTGTATGTAAGTAAGTACGTCTGTGTGTGTATGTGTGTGTCATTCAGTATGTCTGTCAGTGTATGTGTCTGTGTGTGTATGTATGTATGTCTGTGTGTCAGTATGTCTGCCAGGATATATTTGTATGTCAGTGTATGTGTGTGTCAGTATATATCTGTGAATGTTTTAATGTCTGTCTGTATCAGCCATTACGTCTGTCTGTGTATATGTCAGTATGCCTGTGTGTATATGTCAGTATGCCTGTGTGTATATGTCAGTATGCCTGTGTGTGTGTGTGTCAATGTGTCTGTCAGTGTATGTGTCTATGTGTTTTAGTATATCTGTCAGTGTATGTGTTTGTGTGTGTGTCAGTATATCTGTTAATGTATGTGTCTGTGTATGTATGTATGTATGTCTGTGTGTGTGTGTCAGTATATCTGCCAGTATATATTTGTGTGTAGTGACTGTGTGTGTCAGTATGTATCTGTGAATGTTTTAATGTCTGTCTGTGTGTGTATGTGCCAGTACGTCTGTCAGTGTGATTGCGGGTTGGACGTAATTGGGGGTTGAGGCAGTGGCAGGGACAGGGCCCATGGGGCCCAAGAAAATGCATTGCCCAGGGTCCTAATCATATTATAGACGGCCCTGATTACACTGGCCCTGATCAGTCTCATCTAGATCTCGTACAATAGGTAACCGGCAAACCTGTGTCTGACACCCCTGTTATGGCAGTGTCTGCAGTGGACAAAGGGGGGCCCCTAGCTACCGTAGTATTACCAGTTGAGGGTCATCCTACTACCTTTCTAGTTGACACAGGTGCAGCCTGTAGTGTTCTCAGAGAACAAGACCTGCCAGATCCTTCCTACTTTTCTGACCTCAATGTTTCCTGTGTGGGTGTTGATGGTAACCCCCAAAACAACCCATTAACTAAACTCTTGCATGTTGGTTCTAACATTCTTTCCCGTTTCGTTGTTTCATCCACCTGTCCTATTAACCTCCTAGGAGCTGATGTGTTGTCTCGCCTTCAGGCTTCTATCTCCTTCACTGCCGATGGTCAGGTCCAATTACTTACTTCACTTTCTCGTGAAGATACTTCTGTTCTTTTTGGTTTAGAAAAGAGATGAAAAAAAAAAAAGAAGAAGAAAAGAGCCTTAAATAACTAGTACCTCCATGGGGGATAACCCCTATTTTGTAAACAGGAAAAAAGGAAGAAGTTGGAGGTGCCAGTACTATATCATTTAACAACCAGGGAAACACTCAGATGTTGTAATGAAGACTGAAATTTTATGTTAAAACATCACTTTTAATATATTAGTTAAAAAGTCCCTTACTAGTAGGGACAATGAATACACACTATCACACCAAAAGTTATGTACAAAAAATATTAATAATAATGATAAATAAAAAATAGAAATAAATAAAATAATTACACAAGATCAAAGCTATATAGCTATATATCTACTGTGGACATTTATAGCCCGCTGTATATTGTCCTATGGTGTAATTGTAATAGACCACGCGTGTGGATTTGTGTGTCAAATACACTTGTTCTCAGATAAATTCATAGAAGGATAGATGAATATATGGCTCTGTAAATGATATCTTTGATAGCAGATTAAATGGTTTTAATAAATAGACTTAGAATGATATTCCCTAGATATTGTTAAATTTATTGTTGGCATTGATTGCCCTTAATATTGGTGCACCGGCTCGCTAATATTTAGCTGTTGTGCAAATTGTACTTAAAGTCTACGGCAGTAACAATATGGCTAATATAATTAAACCATGTAAAATTACAGTTACCAAATGCTGATAACAAAATCAGCTTGTAGATGCATTAGTTGCTGATTACTGTAACCGTAATTAACTATTAGCTGCTGTACTGTCTAAGATTAAATTATAGGAATTAGCCTATTCGATTAACCGTCAGCTTGCACCAGTTCCCGAGACCCCAAAAGGAAAAGTTTAAACATAGGTTATCTACAGTTGCAAGAAAAAGTATGTGAACCCTTTGGAATTATATGGATTTCTGCACAAATTGGTCATAAAATGTGATCTGATCATCATCTAAGTCACAACAATAGACAATCACAGTCTGCTTAAACTAATAACACTCAAAGACTGAACTGCTGCCATGTTTTTATTGAACACACCATGTAAACATTCACAGTGCAGGTGGAAAAAGTATGTGAACCCCTAGACTAATGACATCTCCAAGAGCTAATTGGAGTGAGATGTCAGTCAACTGGAGTCCAATCAATGAGATGAGATTTGAGATGTTGGTTACAGCTGCCCTGCCCTATAAAAAACACACACCATTTCTGGGTTTTCTTTTCACAAGAAGCATTGCCTGATGTGAATGATGCCTCGCACAAAAGAGCTCTCAGAAGACCTACGAATGAGAATTATTGACTTGCATAAAGCTGGAAAGAGTTATAAAAGTATCTCCAAAAGCCTTGCTGTTCATCAGTCCACGGTAAGACAAATTGTCTATAAATGGAGAAAGTTCAGCACTGCTGCAACTCTCCCTAGGAATGGCCGTCCTGTAAAAGCGACTGCAAGAGCACAGCGCAGACAGCTCAATGAGGTGAAAAAGAATCCTAGAATGTCAGCTAAAGACTTACAAAAGTCACTGGCAAATGCTAACATCCCTGTTAGCGAATCTACAATACGTAAAACACTAAACATGAATGGATTTCATGGGAGGATACCACAGAGGAAGCCACTGCTGTCCAAACAAAACATTGCTACACGTTTACAGTTTGCACAAGAGCACCTGGATGTTCCACAGCAGTACTGTCAAAATATTCTGTGGACAGATGAAACCAAAGTTGAGTTGTTTGGAAGAAACACACAACACTATATGTGGCAAAAAAAAAAGCACAGCACACCAACATCAAAACCTCATCCCAACTGTGAAGTATGGTGGTGGGGGCATCATGGTTTGGGGCTGCTTTGCTGCATCAGGGCCTGGATGGATTGCTTTCATCGAAGGAAAAATTAATTCCCAAGTTTATCAAGACATTTTGCAGGAGAACTTAAGGCCATCTGTCTACCAGCTGAAGCTCAACAGAAGATGGGTGTTGCAACAGGACAATGACCCAAAGCATAGAAGTAAATCAACAACAGAATGGCTTAAACAGAAGAAAATACGCCTTCTGAAGTGGCCCAGTCAGAGTCCTGACCTCAACCCGATTGAGATGCTGTGGCATGACCTCAAGAAAGCGATTCACACCAGACATCCCAAGAATATTGCTGAACTGAAACAGTTCTGTAAAGAGGAATGGTCAAGAATTACTCCTGACCGTTGTGCACGTCTGATCTGCAACTACAGGAAACGTTTGGTTGAAGTTATTGCTGCCAAAGGAGGTTCAACCAGTTATTAAATCCAAGGGTTCACATACTTTTTCCACCTGCACTGTGAATATTTACATGGTATGTTGAATAAAAACATGGCAACATTTCATTCTTTGTGTGTTATTAGTTTAAGCAGACTGTGATCGTCTATTGTTGTGACTTAGATGATGGTGATCCGATCACAATTTATGACCAATTTGTGCAGAAATCCATATCATTCCAAAGGGTTCACATACTTTTTCTTGCAACTGTATATCGAGTAGCTACCAAAATATATAAGTGCTATAGCTAAGTCCTTAATATCTTATATTTTCGTTCCTAAAATATTGGACGGTTAATCGAATAGGCTAATTCCTATAATTTACAAGTGTATTTTACACACAAATCCACACGCGTGGTCTATTACAATTACACCATAGGACAATATACAGTGGGCTATAAATGTCCACAGTAGATACATAGCTATATAGCTTTGATCTTGTGTAATTATTTTATTTATTTCTATTGTTTGTTTATTATTTTTTATTTATTATTCTTATTATTTTTTGTACATAAATTTTGATGTGATAGTGTGTATTCATTGTCCTTACTAGTAAGGGACTTTTTAACTAATATATTAAAAGTGATGTTTTAACATAAAATTTCAGTCTTCATTATAACCTCTGAGTTTTTCCCTGGTTGTTAAATGATTTAGTACTGGCACCTCCAACTTCTTCCTTTTTTCCTGTTTACTTCTGTTCTTTGCTCTTTACCCCTGCTCATGCACATGACATCCCCCACAAAGGAACCAAGGGTCCCCCATGCCTCCAGTGCGCTAGATGCGATCCCAACTAAACTTTGGTCTACAGGCCCAGATGATATTCCCACCTGTGGTAGTCACACAGTCATTGAAGGAGCTCATCCACCACGACGACCACAGTACATAGTTACATAGTTACATAGTTACATAGCTGAAAAGAGACTTGCGTCCATCAAGTTCAGCCTACCTCACATTTGTTTTTTGCCTTTGATCCAAAAGAAGGCAACAAAAACCCAGTTTGAAGCACAATTTTGCAACAAGCTAGGAAAAAAATCCTTCTTGACCCCAGAATGGCAGTCAGATTTATCCTTGGATCAAGCAGTTATTACCCTACATTGAAAGATTATATCCTTGAATATTCTGTTCTTGCAAGTATGCATCTAGTAGCCGTTTGAACATCTGTATGGACTCTGATAAAACCACTTCTTCAGGCAGAGAATTCCACATCCTGATTGTTCTTACAGTAAAAAACCTTTCCTTTGCCTTAGACGAAATCTTCTTTCTTCCAGTCTAAACGCATGGCCTCGTGTCCTATGTAAAGTCCGGTTTGTGAATAGATTTCCACACAATGGTTTGTATTGGCCCCGAATATATTTGTATAATGTTATCATATCCCCTCTCAGGCGACGTTTTTCTAAACTAAATAGATTTAAATTTGTTAACCTTTCTTCATAGCCGATATGTTCCATTCCTTTTATTAATTTTGTAGCCCGCCTCTGCACTTTTTCTAGTACCATAATATCCTTCTTTAGAACAGGTGCCCAAAATTGCACAGCATATTCAATATGGGGTCTTATCAGTGATTTATAAAGAGGCAAAATTATATTCTTGTCCCAAGAATGAATGCCTTTTTTCATGCATGACAATACCTTACTGGCCTTGGCCACTGCTGATTGACATTGCACATTGTTGCATAGTTTGTTGTCTATAACAATTCCCAAGTCCTTTTCATGTGTTTTCATCTCTAATTCGCTTCCATTAAGGGTATACGTTGCTTGTGTATTCTTTACGCCGAAGTGCATAACTTTGCATTTTTTAACATTAAATTTCATCTGCCATTTGAGTGCCCAGTCCCCCAGTCTATCTAAATCCCTCTGCAGCAAAGTAATATCTTGCTCACATTGTATTGTTTTACAAAGTTTTGTGTCATCTGCAAACACTGAAACATGACTTTCAATGCTGTCTTCAAGATCATTTATAAACATGTTAAATAGAAGGGGTCCCAGAACAGACCCCTGAGGGACACCACTTGCCACCTCTGTCCAGCTTGAAAATTTACCATTAATGACAACTCTTTGTACTCTGTTTTTAAGCCAATGTTCTACCCAAGAACAAGCATTTTCATCTAGACCGATTTCCTTGAGTTTGAACACTAATCTATTGTGTGGAACTGTATCAAATGCCTTGTCAAAATCCAAATAGATCACATCCACGGCAACACCCTGATCTATACTTCTACTTACTTCTTCGTAGAATGCAATCAAGTTAGTTTGACATGACCTGTGCTTCATAAAACCATGCTGATTTTTGCTGATAACCATGTTCTTCTCAAGGAATTCTTGAATATTATCCCTTAATAACCTTTCAAATATTTTACCAGCCACAGAAGTTAAGCTCACAGGTCTATAATTTCCAGGCAAGGATTTTGAACCCTTTTTGAATATAGGAACCACATCTGCCTTCCTCCAATCCTCCGGAACACTTCCTGAAAGAAAAGAATCTTGAAAGATTAAAAACAGAGGTTCACTTATTTCTGCACTTAGTTCCTTAAGTACACGTGGATGGATACCGTCAGGCCCTGGAGCTTTGTTTATATTAACTTTCTTTAGTTGCTGCAGCACCTTGTCTTGAGTTAACCAATTACAATTATTCTGCAAGTTTTTAGTAGCAATCATTTGCACATCTATTGCCATGGGTTCTTCCTTAATATATACGGAGGAGAAATAGTTATTTAAAATTCCTGCCTTTTCCTGGTCTTCATTAACTAACACCCCCGTTTCAGTTTTTAGTGTACCTACACTTTCATTTTGTTTTTTTTTAGAATTTATGTACTTAAAAAATGCTTTGGGGTTGGTTTTGCTCTCTTCAGCTATCATTATTTCATTTTGAAGTTTAGCAAGTCTAATTGCCTTTTTGCACGCATTATTTGCATCCTTATATCTTTTATAAGATGCATCTGATTTGTCCGATTTAAATGCTTTAAATGCCCTTTTCTTAGTTGTAATCTCTTGTTTTACTTCTCTACTAAGCCACATTGGTTTTAATTTGTTTCTTTTATATTTATTTCCCAACGGTACATACTGAGAAATGTACCTTTGTAATATTTGTTGGAAGATGATCCATTTATCCTCAGTGTTCTTTTCACTAAAGAGTTTATGCCAGTCAATATATTGTAAAGCTTCCCTTAACTTATTGAAATTGGCCTTTTTAAAATTATATGTTTTAGTATTCCCCATGTGCTTTTGTTTTTTTGAGTTTATTTCAAAGGACACTATATTGTGATCACTATTTCCCAAGTGCTCACCTACTTGAATGTTGGTCAAAAGATCAACGCTGTTTGTTAAAACCAGGTCCAGACAAGCATCCATTCTAGTTGTGTACAAGTTGTGACATGAAGGTGTCATTTAACAAGTTTAAAAACCTAATTCCCTTTGCTGAGGCACTAGTCCCTCTGTCCCAATTTATATCCGGGTAAGTACCCATTGAAACATGCACAAGCTCTTGCCATCTCGAAACAAGTTGAAAGTCTGGTTGCAAAAGATGCTTTAATCAAATGTGTTTCACAGTGTAATACTCCCCTGTTTCCTGTAAAGAAGAAAACTGATTAAAAAAAAGGCCAACCAGACCAATATCGCATGGTCCAGGATCTCCGTGTTGTCAATGAGGTTACTAAACGGGACACGGCTGTCGTTCCAAATCCGCATACATTGTTGTCACAAGTGCCTTCAACTGCTAAATTCTTCACAGTGGTTGATCTTGCAAACACCTTCTTCAGTGTGCCTTTGGATCCCTCATGTGAGTATTTATTCGCTTTCACACATGACCGCCAGCAATTTACATGGACTGTTATGCCTCAAGGTGCGCAAAATCCTCCAACGCAATTTGCAAAAGCAATGTCTATTGTACTTGAACCCTGGCAGAAATCTCACCCAGATGTGGTCCTGCTCCAGTATGTTGAAGATTTACTGCTCTGTACAGATGACTTTCCAACAGCTGAACGCCACTCTGTGGATCTTCTCTGTTTCCTCGCAGAAGAAGGTTGCAAAGCCTCCAAAGCTAAACTCCAGTTGTGCTGGCCCACAGTGGTATTCTTGGGACATTGTCCTTCCCATGGCACCCGTCACCTGACAAGAGACAAAGTTCATGCAATCACAAATCTTCCCCTTCCATCTACTCACCAGGCTCTCCAAGCCTTCCTGGGCCTCATTACTTACTGCAAATTTTGGATTCCTGAGGCCTCTCAACTCATGCAACCCCTCTACGACGCCTTGAAGACTGAACCCTTCACATTGTCCTCCACAGCCTGCAGTTGATACTTTGCTCTACAAAGGGCAATCTCTTCGGCCCCTGCTCTGGGCCTCCCTAACTACCAGTTGCCATTCATGCTTTTTGTCTCTGAGAATATGGGCCATGCCTCAGGGGTGCTTACTCAATCTCATGGGCTCTGGCAGTGTCCCATAGGGTACTTTTCCTGCATGCTTGACCCCGTAGCCAGAGGAGGTCCTTCCTGTTTGCATGCTGTTTTCGCTGCAAGTGCCCTCCTGGATAAAACTAATGATTTTGTTCTTGGACACAAACTGACTGTTCTGGCTCCACATGACATCGCTGCTATTCTGAATCAAGTCCAACTGAAACATCTTTCCTGTCAGAGATGTCTTCAAACTTCTCTTCTTTTACCAGACAACGTTACCATACAACGATTTTATTCTTTGAATCCGGCCACTCTTCTGCCACTTCCCAAGGGGGGAGTTCCACAATACTGGTACAGTTTGCATATACATCCTGATGTTTACATGGAACTACAAATTGAAAAGCCCACAATTCCACATGATGAACAACCCGAGACCCAACTACATTGCACCCTGTGGTTTCGAGATACTCCAGATCCTGACTCATACTATGAAGAAGAATTGTTTAGCCTGGTGGAGGTGCAGATTACACTGACAGATCTGTTCTGTGACTTCAAGGGGAACATTGTCATCCTAGTCTGTCTACCAATGGAGGTATCACATTTGTATCACCATTGGGAGGTGGCTGTTCCTCATGTTTCTTTCACCAAGTCTCCAGATATCTCATGGAAAGAACAAAAACAAGAATAATAGGTTGCGCTACGTAAATATCAAATGAAAAAGGGATAAATATGGCAAAACACTTTAAAACGTAAAAGAGGAATAATATGTATAAAGAAAAGGGGATTTAATAAATATATATAACAAATATATATATAAAAAAAGATAGTCCAAATTCTTGATATAATTTAAAAAGTTCAAATAAGTGGATGATAGTGACAGTACTTGGTATATTTCTCTTTCAGGTTCCGGTAAGTATTTGGAGGTAGAAAGTCCAATAAGAGACTGAATCTTCTAATCTTTAGAGGAGTCTTGATTCAGAGATGAACATGGAAAATATAAGCAACAAAGACGATCCAATAGTGTAGACTGTCTGTGATAAATAATAATAATAATAGGTAGGTAGTACATTCACCTATCTTAGAGCATGAACTTGCTCTAGTATGTTGGGCGTTCAGTGGCGTTTATCCCCCACTGGTAGGATATAGGTGAAGGTAATTCCTCGGTAATAAAAAGGAGATAAAAGCAGAATATAGTGCTCACTGAATCAAAATGAAATAAAGTGAAATAAAAGGAATAAAAATACTCACATTCGAATGAGCAGGATAAACTGCTCAGTATATTCGCATAGGTGGTACAATCCCCACCAAGGATTCTTGGTCGTGGGTAGATTCCAAGTTGGTGAATGACCAGGTGACAGGAAATATTTTTAAAACAAAATTATTTAAAAATAAGATAAAAAGGTATATGGCAAAATTGATGTAAAAAAGCCACTATTCCTTTATTAGTACAATAAAAAATATATAAAATAGCCAAAACGCATTTCGCCACACAGGGCTTTATCAACTGGCAATAATAAAAATCAGCCTGGTACATAGATACTTTTATAAACTATGATAAAACATGCTTATTCAAATTTTGGCGCCAAAATGACGTCATCCATACAGTGTGTAAAAAGCAAAATGATTAATAACATAAAAATACATAAAAATACAAAATGCATAGTATTCATAATTTAAAATGTAAAGTAATACATAATATTTAATAATAAAACGAGTGTTATTTGTTGAAATAATAGATAGAATCAAAAATCATGTGATCGCAATCTAATGCGATCACATGGTGAACACTGAGGCAATATGGGAAATGGAGTGACAGGGGAGAAAGCAAAAATAGATGGTCACGTGATCGCGGACCTTCGCGATCACGTGACTGATTGCACACATCGATATAGGGTGTAGCCGCTCAGACGGAGGTCGGCAGCCTACGGCACGCCTCCGTCTGACATCAATGGTGGGGGCGGTGTATACCGCGAGTGCTCATGGGGTGTGTAGTGTTCAGACGGGGGCCGGCAACTAGGGGCACGCCTCCGTCTGACATCTACAAAAAAGGGGCGGCGCCTAATGCCGTTCGTGATCCACCTTGTAAAAAAATAAAAATAAGTGGCATAACAGCCAAAATTAGAACTATTATGAATAAAACAAATATGAATATACAGAACAAATATAAGTATAAAAACAAATATGAGTATGTGAAGGAATAAGAAAAAGGAATAATAGAACTAAAAAAAGTGAAAGGTGTATTTAGGAGCTAAATAGCTAGGTATATATTGTTAACCTTATAAATAAATGAAGGGTAAAAAGTGAGATATATAATAAAAAATAAAATATAAAATATAAAAATAAAAATAAAAATAATTTTATAAAAAATTAAAAAGGTCAAATTCAGCGTTCAAGCCCTCAGGAAAAAGAGTCTTAAGTGTAAAAACCCAATACATTTCTCTTTTGCCTAAAGTTTTTATAATATCTCCACCTCTCCATGGGAGAGTGACTTGTTCTATACCAGTTACTTTTAGGAGTGTCGGATCTTTATTATGTATTAAAAAATGCTTGGAAACTGAGTGATTCTCATAACCTCTCCTAATGTTACGGCAATGTTCTGCTAGTCTCACTTTAAGGCATCTTTTAGTCATGCCCACATATTGGAGCCCGCATGGACATTCCAATAAATATATCACATTTTTGGTATTACAACCTATATATTCTTTAATGGTGTAGGAGGTTTTAGTAATATTAGATTACTTTATTTCATTTTGATTCAGTGAGCACTATATTCTGCTTTTATCTCCTTTTTATTACCGAGGAATTACCTTCACCTATATCCTACCAGTGGGGGATAAACGCCACTGAACGCCCAACATACTAGAGCAAGTTCATGCTCTAAGATAGGTGAGTGTACTACCTACCTATTATTATTATTATTTATCACAGACAGTCTACACTATTGGATCGTCTTTGTTGCTTATATTTTCCATGTTCATCTCTGAATCAAGACTCCTCTAAAGATTAGAAGATTCAGTCTCTTATTGGACTTTCTACCTCCAAATACTTACCGGAACCTGAAAGAGAAATATACCAAGTACTGTCACTATCATCCACTTATTTGAACTTTTTAAATTATATCAAGAATTTGGACTATCTTTTTTTATATATATATTTGTTATATATATTTATTAAATCCCCTTTTCTTTATACATATTATTCCTCTTTTACGTTTTAAAGTCTTTTGCCATATTTATCCCTTTTTCATTTGATATTTACGTAGCGCAACCTATTATTCTTGTTTTTGTTATTTCTCTTTTGAGGACTTCAGAGGGAACCTCATACCTATAGGCTGCAGCTTTCCACTTGATCACATCACACAGCGCTGATCCATTTTCTACCTACACCTATCTCATGGAAAGAACTCGGGCCAATGGCCAAAGAATGGAGCACTGCAACACAAGAACAACTCACAGTGACGGGGGTCACTAAGACGACCATAAATTGCAAAACTATCGGTTACCCCCGATAGTATGCAGAGATATGTGAAGATGTGCCTCCTACAGAACCAGACCCAGAAGCTCCACATGATTGCTTTGAACAGATGAAGATGGAAACCACCCATCTTCCCACAGTGCACGAAACTGCCTTGCCAAACCCTGACTACACGCTGTTTGTGGATGGTTCCAGATTCGCAGAAGAAAAGGGTCAAAACCATACCGGATATGCAGTCACCACAGAAGACCAAATACTTCAAGCATCCTCACTTCCCTCCTCCAAATCAGCCCAAGAAGCCGAGTTGATAGCCCTCACAGTGGCATGCAGAATATCAGAAGGGAAGCGTGTCAACATTTAAACAGACTCCAGGTATGCCCTAGGAGTAGCGCATGACTTTTGCTTAATCTGTAAGACCAGGGGATTTCTTATAGCAACAGGTACTCCTGTAAAACATGGTCGACCATCAATAAGTTAATGGACGTCTTACTACTGCCAGAGGAAGTAGCTATACTAAAAGTCAAGTCCCATGGGAAATTGAATTCAGAAGAAGCCCATGGTAACCATCTGGGCTACCAAGCAGCTAAAGATGTAGCGCGCCGGAATTTGGAAGTAGACAGAAGAGTGTCCGATGAAAGGACCCCTGTTTACACCATGCAAACCCTACCCACTGACCTCAGATTCCTAAGAGACCAACAGGCCGCTGCTACCCCACAGGAAAAACAAAGCTGGAAGGATAAAGGAGCAATCATTCAGAATGATATATATATATATATATATATATATATATTGTGATAAGGTGAATGGGGTGGTCTGTGAGGGAGTTTATATTTCGACTGAATTGTTCAGAGAGGCATATGATTTTTAACCTCAGGGGGAGTGTGTGTCTGTGTGTATATAACTGAAATGAATATTTAGTTATGGGCCCCTGGGGTGGAGAATTTGGAGAGCAGGGTGGGCCAGTGCTCCACTCCGCAGTTTAGCGGTTTTCTTGGGAGACATAGATCCAGGTCAGGGTTTTTGGACTGTCTCCAACCCACTGCTCAGCTGCAGGTAATCAGCTGCAGCAGTGGGAATAAACCCCTCCCTGCTAGGCAGGTAGGAGAGAATGTTTGTTTCTCTTTTGAAGGGATGGAAGCAGCAGGCTGACTAAACACTGGAGTGCTGAGAGCTAACAAAGACACTAGGTTGGTGAAACCAGTATTATTTGTTATAGTTTAACCCCTGAGAGATAGGGAATCTAAAGTTAGTTAGTGCTCAGACGAGCTAGGTTTTTGTTTATAGGGATTTTGTTACATTATTGTTTTTTTCATTTACTACTGTCTGTGTGGATTTACAAATAAAGTGCCTGGAATTAATTTACTTTTAAAGACTGTGCATGTTTGTACCCAAAAGGACCGTGCTAACTGCAGACAAGGATCACAATATATACAATCAACCTTAAAGTCTGTCTACCCAAGAATATGTACCCGGCTGTTGTCCAATGGGCTCATGGACCAGCACATTTGTCAAAACAACTCATTAACTCTTTGATTGACAAGTATTTCAAAGCACCTGGGATCACTACCTTAACTCGAAACTACTGCCGGTCCTGTACTATCTGTGCTAAATGCAACCCAGGAAAAATAATCAAAGCTGCACCGAATCATTTGGCCAAACCACAATATCCCTTCCAAAGGATCCAAATTGATCATATCCAAATGCTGAAGAGCGGCCGTTACAAGTAAGCATTGGTCATAGTGGATATGTTTTCAGGGTGGCCAGAAGCTTTCCCAGTTGATCAACCTTACTGCAAAAACTACCACAAAACACCTACTCACCGAAATTATCTGCAGATACGGAATCCCCGAAGTAATTGAAAGTGACCAAGGTACATCTTTCACCGCATTACTGACCCGAGAAATCTGGGCAGCACTGGGGGTGACCCTTGCTTTCCATGCACCCTATCACCCACAGAGTAGTGGTAAGGTAGAACGCATGAATGGGACTCTGAAAGCCAGAATGCTCAAAATGTCACAGGAAACTAATTTGCCCTGGCCGGAGAGTCTCCCCATAGCACTCTTTAGTGTAAGGTACACCCCAAGAGGGAAGTTTAACTTATCCTCCTACGAGCTTTTGTTTGGGACAGCACCCAGGTTAGGCTGTTACTTTCCACAACAACTTCAACTTCAGTCAGATGCAATGGTAGATTATATAACTGCACTTTCTCATGCCTTGACCAAAATCCATGCAGAGGTGTTTTTTTCTATTCCAGATCCAGAATCCAATACAGGCACGCACAAGTTATTACCTGGTGATTGGGTTATGGTCAAGAAGTTCCTAAGAAAACCTACTCTTGAGCCAAGGTTTGATGGTCCATTCCAAGTACTACTGACTACAGCTACCTCTGTAAAGTTGGATGGGAAGAACACTTGGATACACGCTTCACACTGTAAGAAGGTTCCTGATCCAGAGCAAGCGGATCCCATCCCAACATGAGCCTTTTATATTTATGTTTGCTGCTAGGCCTCTTAGAGGCCCAACAAGTTGCTATTACCAAAGATAATCATGTTTACACATTTTGGTACAATTGTTCCAACACACTGGTGGCTACATTTACTTTTGATTACTGTGATATTGTTACTTGTACTTTCCCACAATCACAACACTCAGCAATATATAAAGACATACCAAACAAGAAGGACCCATACATTTGTGTAACGGGTGGTCATTGGGGACATCACTGTAGCTCATGGAAAGCAGCGGGTTGGAACACGGACCGACCATGGGGTTACAGACCACAGAGTGCCTTAGACCGAGTTGACAGACATGGGAAACCCCTGTTATACCGAATGACCTTGTGTAAACCAACAGGGTCTACTCCAATAAAATTAACCTTAAACATAGAACATCCCAGCCCAGGTGACGCTGGGGAATATGTAATGGGAATGTATTGGAAAGGGGGTGGCTCATACAACAAGTTGGGAACATTTTATTTGCAAGACATGCTTACATCACCTGACTGGGTAGGATTAACACACATGACAGTAAATCCCCTGAAACCACACATCAAGACTCTCAAGGACATGGTGGCTATTGCCAATCCCACATTTGAAGACACTATGGCTGTGGAGACTGTTTTTTTTCAGATACTAATCTATGGCTTGAATGGATGAGGTACAATGCTAACTCTCATAATAAAACCAACTGTTATGTTTGTGGTGGAGCTAGGCCCCACCTAGGTACAGTGCCTCTAAATCTACCCCCCGATGTTGAAACATGTTTCTTAAGCCTCTATGCACAAACGATTGTAAATTCATCAGCATGTGAGTCATGGATGAAGGCTTACCCAATTACTCAAGGGAACACCAGACCACCGGATGGAGTCACAGTGTACCCAGGTAATTACACTTGCTATACAATGCACGTAGCCACAGGTAGATTCATAGGCAAATTTCCTTCTGGTTACTGTGCAATTTACCAGAATTCACCCACAACATTATTAGTGAATCAGATTAAGTCCATGGGAGACATTTATTGGTTATGTGGTGACATGCAACTCAGGTCAAAAATGACTGGTTTATGGTGGGGAGAATGTACTCTAACTAAAGTTATTATGCCCATCCATATCTTCCCTGACAACCACCAAGGTCCATATGATTCATCATATACACATCTTAGAGTAAAAAGAGAAATCCCTATTCAAGGTAGTTTTGACCCACATGTATATATAGATGCCATTGGAGTACCTAGGGGGGTACCAAATGAGTTCAAGGCCAGAGATGAAGTGGCGGCAGGATTCGAATCCTTGATCCCACTTATCACTGCTAATAAGAATGTTAACTGGATCAATTACATCTACTACAACCAACAACGCTTTGTCAACGACACTCGAGAGGCCCTACAGGGCTTAGCCGAACAGTTACAGGCTACCTCTCACATGACGTTCCAAAACAGGATAGCCTTAGACATGATCTTGGCCGAAAAGGGGGGCGTATGTAAAATATTCCCTGAGACGATACCGGTCCTAATGCTAAGATAACATGGCCATAGAGAAATTAGAAAATCTCTCTGATGAATTAAAGAAAAACTCAGGGGTTCCCAACTCTTGGGATAAATGGTTTGAATGGATGAGTGGATGGCAAAGGACTCTTTTCAAATAGGGATGGCAGTTCTTACCGTAATGATCTTCTTCCTCTTTCTAACCTGTTGTGTGGTACCATGTGTGCAAAGGTACTTACAAAAGACCATTGACCGCACCACACCCATATATCTACACCAAGATGCTGATGGTATTGACTGTGACACTCCACACACACCACTTCAGTCCCATTATTTCAAACAGACAACAACTACTACCACTTTATAGGGACAGTATAGGGATATCGTCTGTCTCTACGGGCAGGAGTCTGACGCAGGAGATGTAGTGGGTTAGCCACTGCGTAATACCTGCGCACTGAAGTGTTTGAGGCCTGTTAAAACAGATGAGCTGCAGCCAAATTAGGGACATTATTACGGTTAGCTAGTAGTTGGCTGTCTTTTCTTTCCTTCCTTTCGTAAATAGTCCTTTTAAGGGGGGACTGTTGTGGACAAAAATATGAACCCAATTTATATTAGTAAAATGCCTATTTACTCAACATAGCTACAATCAGCATTATCCGATTTTCTATGTGATTATCTAAAATGGCCGCTAGGGAGTTTCCCCTCTAACACCTACTGACACTCTCATTAGCAAGATGGCGCTGGAATCTGGGGGAGACCTCCACGATGCCAGTGACATCACCCTCAGTAGGCAGAGCATTAAATGAACCACTTAACACCTAACCAATTATTTATGTATTATTTCATGTTATCTCTGACAATGCTTATGATGTAATTTTGCTTTAAAAGGGATATGTCGTCCACTCTGAATAAACATTCCTCAAGTTTTTCATTAACCCGAAACTTGTGTCTGGTGTGAATTACTCCAGGAGCGTGCACGCATTATTTCTTTAATTCGGCCAGGGGCAGATACACAAGATAATCAATTTATTGATTGATTGACTTAGTATGACATTATAGATATATATTATATAGATATAATATATGTGTGTGTGTGTGTGTGTGTGTATATATATATATATATATATATATATTATTTTTATATATATATATATATATATATATGTACTAATATATATATTTTTATTTTACAGATGCAGGGAGAATGCCTGTCATATACTGTCTGAAACCATATGGACGTGGCCCGCGGGGGGCCTAATTTGCCAAGGGGGGACTGTCTGGCCTGTCAGGCAGTCCCCCCAAACCAGGAACAACACCGATCACCAGCAGGGGAACGGCGGCGAGTGGGTAAGTACTAATACAAGCTTACCTATTGGTGGTGATGGCAAAACATAATTTTTTGACTCTATGGCCATTTGTTAAAGTTACTATATAGATTTTTTTGATTTTTGTTTAGGTGATGCAGATATATGGTTCGGGGGGGGCAGGTCATACCAATATCTGCTACAATAACCATAATAATCTTAATTATTATTTTTTTCAGCCTTAATCAATGCTAACACTATACCATATCTTAAGTCCTGGTTAATTCTTGCAATCTAAAATGAGGTGGCTATGAAATGTGCTTATATGTTGTTTCCTCTTCATTTAAGTGGATTCAAGTTTGTATACATATAATCTTGTAAATCTTTCTAATTTGATTTTCTCTATAAACTTAAATGGATTTTGCATAAACTAATTAACAGTTTTGCATGATTGTCATATCTGTGCTCCACATCCAAACATCAGCATTGCTTTTTTTTTTTTGGGGGGGGGGTAACTGGGTAGAAAACTATATATAAAGAAAATACACTAAATACAGCAAAATAAAAAAGAGAGATAAAGCGGGCCCGTTGTGGGAAGTTTTAAACTTATCCCACAGGTTTCAAACTTTACATTATGATGGCATGGTACAACAAATCATTGTGGTCAACTTATCCATAAATTTAATATGAAGAATGTTCACTTCCACAGTGTCTAAAATTGGTACTGACTTCTGAAGTAAAATGCCAACTGATCCAAGTCAAAAGGAAGGAAAAATATTTTAGAAAGTAGTTGTATTTTGTGTCAGAAGGAGACAACATTTGTACATGTCCACCACACCTGCATGTAGGTGCCTTATTTTCACATTAGCCTTCTTTTGTACTGTTGTGGACAAAATATTAACTCTATTAATTTTTTAGTAAAATGCCTATTTACTCTGCATAACTATAATCAATAAGTTACTTAAAATGGCCACTAGGGAGTTTCCCCCATTATCAACTAACACCCTTGAATTAACAAGATGGCGCTGGAATCTGGAGGAGAGCACCATGATGCCAGTGACCTCACACCCAGTAGGATGAGCAATTGATGAACCACTTAACACCTAACCAATTATTGATGTTTTTTTCTCTGTTATCTATAATTATGCATATTATGTATTTCTGCTTTATATGGGGCATACCAACCCCCCGGAATAAAGATTCGTGAGTTTTTCATCAACCTGAAACTTGTGTCTGGTGTGAATTGCTTTAAGAAGCATGCACGCAACATTTAACCAATTCGGACAGGGGAAGATATACAAAATTATCAAACAATATGTTCGGATAATGCAGAACATATCTTGACATTCCCCTGACATTTAGGGAAACTTACCTTATTTGTCGTTTTATTGCATTATCTACATAACATGTAGTGCATGGAAATGTAATTCTAGAGTATGAGCAAAGTTTTAAAAGTTTAAAAATCTGGTACAAAACTGCTTTTGGCAAACTGTCCTTGACTACAGTATTCAATATTTTAAGTAAGTACTCTGTTCATTGAAGAACAAGATAACTAGAGTAAATAATTAGTATTAACAAGCAGATGTATGTTCCCTAGTCCATTGATCTCCTGTTATATATCTAAGGATAGATGTTTATTAATTTAAGATTATGGGACATATGCAAATTTTACGACACAATAGTCCAAATGGAAAAACATTTGGCCTAGAGAATCCTTACATATGTTACACGATTTGCCTTTTATTCCAAGTACAGACAATAAATAAAGGCAGCACAACTAGATGCCAAATGTGCACAAGGAGTGCTACATACAGTTTATTTGAAGGACCAAAAAGAAACAAACATTTTGGGTTTTATCTTTCTTAATGCATGTTAATTAAATACAGTGGTACCACCATTCGTATTGGCTAACACTGCCTCCGCTTTACAAAAAGTGTTGGAATTTAAAACCATGTTGCTACCATCGTTGAAAGGACATGCATTGCTTGACTTTATTTTTTTAAACCCGCAAGCTTTTAAACAAATTGTGATGGAGCTCCTGTATTCAGACTGAGTACATCTTTTAAATTAGCTTCCTAGCTGCAATCAGGAACCCTGGAGCTCTTCAGATTCAGTTGCCACAGCTTGACTGGCATCTCCTTGCAGATCTGCCAGGCTGCAGTGGTTATAGTCCTCCGCAGTGGTTATAGCTCTCTGAAGACTATTTCTCCTGTGAAGCAGCGATTGTATGGTGAAACTGGGAGACATAGGGACACTGTAATATATAGGGACACTGGTAGACTGAGACAGGGAGACACTGGGAGCAATCCATATATACAGTAGAATCAAACTGTTTGTAGTTTTGTTGATTTTACAGAATTATCTTATGTCACTCCTTGTGATTTACATCATGTTTTGTCATGCATACAAAATGTATTATGCAAATTAGTAAGGCTGTGTGTTTGTTTTCCCAAGAAAGGTGGCAACCCTAAATACTGTTCACATACTCTTGCTTAAGTATGGAAACTTAAAAGGGATGTAGAGGACTGTGTGGAATGGCTGACAATGGAATTAGTTTAGGTAATGCTGACTTTGCTCTCTCTAACACTGCGGCATGTTCCCTTTCTTCTATACTCACTACATACACTTTTTTTCTGTCCCAAACTATATACCAGGAGCTTCTGCCTCCTAGTAAGAAGGTAAGGAGACAATTGTACATGTGACTGCTAGGGGACAGTACTTAGAGTGGAGCGAGTGCATCATTAGACGTATTTATGCCAAGCTCAAGGTGCTGTCTGCATAGCATGCCCTTAGTTGGCCAGCCTGCATGACTGGCAGGCAGCCTGACATGCATTCATGCCAGCCTGTCCTTCAAATTCTTTGGGCAGACATGCCCCCTTTTTGGGGATGTTCGCTCCTTTTGGCAGTTTGGTTACGTTTGTGTCAGTGGCCCACCCTTTTACCCTGTCCATAGACTTCCTGTACACTGATGTTAGGCGGTATGGATTTACTTGAAAGACAAAAGTGTGAGATTAGCATAGGGTATGTGTTGTCTCATAGCTATATCCTATGAGTTTCCCTCAAGCACCATCTCCATCAGATAGATGACGCTTGGGAGGTAGGACTGTTTTAGTGTTTTTGGTCGATAATATTTTGTCATTAGGCCCATCATAATTGTCAGCACCAGGTCCACTTGGCTCTTAATCTGGCCCTTGGCCTGCAGGGGCCTAAATTGCAGGAAGGGGACTGCCTGGGGTGTCAGGCAGTCCTCAAGAAGTGGAGCGCCAGGAAGAGAAGTCTGCTCTTGGGCTCAAAGTTGTTATGGCGTTCTATGCCTTTCTAGCCCATTGAATGCAGGACGGCATAGAATGCCGTAACAGCGGGAAGGGATTAAGCCTAGAGTTCCGTTTTAGTTTGCTAGTCTAATTTACCCATGATACACAAGTCAAAAGAATCCCACAGAAGAGCAAACATACAAAACTCATAAATAGAGGAGAACAAAATGTAAGTGTCCAAATGAAAAGGTAAAAAATATGTTAAATGTAAATAAAGGCAAGCGGTAGGGAGTATAATATTTTGAAAAAGTGACTTAAGGTAATGAAAACTGAATGGTAAAGAAGACAGTGGCACATTAAGTGAAGTTCTATTGTGCTGCTAAAAGTGAAAAACAAACTTTTTTTGTTGTTTGAACAATTTTTGACTAACAAAATGTTAAAATAATTAAATTGTAATTTCTTCGGATCAACTATTTTGTGTTAAAGAGACATGCATCACTTTGAGATAACTTGTCGCGATTGAAGGGGCTCTCCAGCTCTGTTCCGGTGTGGTCTCTGATGCTGCTCGCTGCCAAGAGTGCATTTTCTGATGACTTTCCAGGGTCACGTCCATATGATGTATCCACTGGCAATCTTGACACTCCAATGGCATTGCTGGTGATGCGAAATCTTCGTTCCAACATCTGCAAGTTTTTTGGCAATGCACTCTTTAATATTTTGGTGACCCAGATTACACCGTACCAAATTAAGTCACCTTCATTCCAGTCTTTACCCAGTGGAGAAACAAATTTCACCACTAGCAAAAAAAACACAATAGTTGGAACTATAATACTTGACTGGATTTAACAATTTCCTATTGAGAATGAAAGAATAAAGGAACACAATAGTGTAGGAGTATCAATGAGAGAGATCTGTAAGCCTAAATCTAACACTCACAACAGTGAGTATGGCATAATAGGAATGCTATGGATAATCCTAGACCCTTTAATAATGTCACAGTCTCCAGCTCGCAGCCACACGTGACTGGGTGCGGTTAATTGAATAAAGGCATGGGGATGGACCGGAGCGTCCATCCCCACGGAGCACAATGTTCCTATGGACGCCGGCTGCTGTGATATTGGCCACATATATAGCCTAGCCTCCGGCAGGGTCGGAAGTCACACGGACGTGAGTGCATGGCCACGTAATTGGCACACACAGGTACGTTCTGAAATCAGCTGATCCCTGCCGACCAATGACCATTGGGAATGGGCTATTTAAACCCATTTTTGTATCTCCTCTTTGCCCTGTTGTGGTTTCCATTACCGTTTGGTTATGCAAGAGTGCATTCCTGTATTTGACATTCTGTTTTTTTTTATATTGGCTTGTCCTGACTATTCTTACTTCTGGCTTCCTGACCCTTTGGCTTTTGACTTCCCATGTTTGCTCCTGTCTGTACTCCTGACCTTGGCTAGTTACTGGTTATTCATTTACATTTATTCAAGCCATTCTAAGGCTGGTAATATGTTTTTCCTTGGTTTATTTATTTACCGTGTGTGACGAAAGAAATTTTGCCACTGGTTTTTGGAGAGGACTAATGGCCAGCCTTTTGCCCAAAGACTATGGGCTCTGCAAAAAGACATCCCCTCCCCCTTTTTCCTGTCCTATTGTTTCTCCAGCAGGGTGTTGTCCCAGGGACACTGCCAGACCAGTTTAAACTGGCTGCTTTGTCCCTCCTCAATCTCCCATCAGCCCTTGCTATTGTCTGACCCCACCCTTCCTTGTACTATAGCGCACTTTTTACATTCAAAATAGACCGGCCGCACAGCCTAATTCTCTGCAACTGTTTTGGGCATGAAAATGTGCGTGCGGTCGGTCAAAAGAGACTTCCAGGAATTTCCTGAACCCCTGCGCTAATCTGGGTGATTTTTGGATATGTTGTTCACCAAGATCTGGACTATCAGGGGATATGTTATGTTTTTGGGTGTTTTCCAGATTTTGTAACAATGTATGTTTTTTCTGCTTAAAGTTAATTGAGTTAGTCAATTGTCTTTGTTAATTGTATCACAGGCAGAAGGGAGGGATTGTGTACACTGTATGGGAGTGTCTGAATGTAAACCTCTGTTTTTATTGGCTTGTATGTTTTTGTATGTTGACGTGGGCATCACCTTTGCTGTATAACTTGTATAAAATACCAGTGTGTGCCATTAAACTTTGTGTTCCTGTTTGACCCTCAACACATAGTCTTGTCTCGTGATTGGAGGGTAACTGCTATAAATCACACTGGGGATTGCTATACTTTGTATACTCCCCTGGGCTCTAATCACTTAGCTCTTTTAAGAGCTGTTCCTGTTAAACTCTCCTGGAGGAGAGGTCTCTCCCACTCGATCCTGGGTGTCAGAGGTTGATCCAGGGTGGAAGTAAGATGGCGAGATTCCGGTTAAGCTACGGCGGTTGTGGAGTCTGTGGTGGTTGTGGTGTGTGGTGCTTATAGTCCTCGGCGTCAGCTAGGAAGCATCCGTTAATGGAGGTACCCAGTCGGGATGCCAGGTGATCTGTTACAGAGTTTGACTTAATACTGCGTGTTGGGCCACTGTACTGTCCTGACACCTAAATGGTAGATTGCAGCTTTGGCAGGTGGTGGTTCTGAATACAATACAGCAATTTCATACCATACAGATAGGTATGTAGAAGGAAGATATATTCACAGGTAACCATAAAAAAAACTTTTTAAAAATAAGTTTAAAAAAAAAATCTAAAGCACTAGTTTACAATATCTAGTATTGGGAGAATTAAAAAATGTGGTTCCGGACTGCCCCTTGCACTTTTTGGATGCAAGTTGCATTCAGCTCGCTGCAGCCTTTCCTTCTGGCATCGCCAACTCATCATGCCATTTCCTTTTTGCCCGGTTCTTCTTTGGAATGTATTGCGCCTATTAGTAAGAATTCTTAACACTAAAATAGGTGGAAAGCACAATGTATTCCAAAGAAGAACCAGACACAAAGAAAATTATATGGAAACGCACTATATGCTATATATTGTGCATTTTCTTGTCACATATTACTCATGTTAATCTTTCTGTATTGGAAAACAAGGGGGTGGCTGCACTCACCTAAACACGCTTAAATAGGGTGCTGCTGGGGGCCAATAAGTACAGTAAAAATGAAAATCCAGCGCACTCTTTCTGTGTTGCACAGACAGACAACTAATGCTGTCCTTCTCACTCATCCTTCCCTGTACTGAGGCCAATATATGTGTTAATAAGTGCAAGAGCTAACCAAATTTGCACTTGGCAATGCATATAACCAGTATAATGAGCTGAATAATAATGGTGCTTTAATGAAGATAAACTGTAAAACTTTGGCTTACATTTTGTTCAACAAACATATACAACTTATATTTATAAAACTATTTAACCAGAACAAGCAGTATACAAGGAAGAGTAAAAAACATCTATTAACCAATTTATTTATGGAGTTTATAGTTTGATGTGAGGTTAAAAAAAATTACAAGCTTTTTTTAGATATAAATGAGTAAACAATTAAAGGAACACTATAGTCACCTAAATTACTTTAGCTAAAGAAAGCAGTTTTAGTGTATAGATCATGCCCCTGCAATTTCACTGCTCAATTCACTGTCATTTAGGAGTTAAATCACTTTGTTTCTGTTTATGCAGCCCTAGCCACACCTCCCCTGGCTATGATTGACAGAGCCTGCATGAAAAAAAAACTGGTTTCACTTTCAAACAGATGTAATTTACCTTAAATAATTGTATCTCAATCTCTAAATTAAACTTTAATCACATACAGGAGGCTCTTGCAGGGTCTAGCAAGCTATTAACATAGCAGGGGATAAGAAAATCTTAATTAAACAGAACTTGCAATAAAGAAAGCCTAAATAGGGCTCTCTTTACAGGAAGTGTTTATGGAAGGCTGTGCAAGTCACATGCAGGGAGGTGTGACTAGGGTTCATAAACAAAGGGATTTAACTCTAAATGGCAGAGGATTAAGCAGTGAGGCTGCAGGGGCATGTTCTAAACACCAAAACTGCTTCATGAAGCTAAAGTTGTTCAGGTGACTATAGTGTCCCTTTAACCCCTTAACGACCAAACTTCTGGAATAAAAGGGAATCATGACATTTCACACACGTCATTAAGGGGTTAAGCAAATAAATCTATAAAATCACTTTTTTTCTTAACAGGTGTTCAAAGATGTAACTTAAAACATTGGACTTTAATTAGTGTAATGTTATTGAAATCGGGAAGTGTTGCCTCTGTCCCATTTCACCAGGGGATGATATTTCCCTCCCAGCTAATTAGGATGCCAGTGGATTTTTCTGAAAGATTGGACAAAACTTTGAGTATTCCTTTAACACTCTGTTCAACAGTTAGGTCTGCCTGAAAAACAAAAGTATATATCAGTACATGAAGAAACTTAATCCTATATAATATCTTGTTTGGCTTTACCTATGGCTGACCGTATACATAACAGTCCACATTACAGCTTTGCGGTGTTTAAATTCAGTGGGAGACCTGCTACATTTATGGTGGCTATGGCCGAAAATTCAATCTTTCTAGAAAATGGTAGAAAATATACTAAAGGTGGTAGTGGACCCCCATATTCATTTAACGCCGGAGTTGGTCTTGTTGAGGCATATAAATAAAGAAGTACATGGGGCTAGGATTTCTTTGGGAATCTTATTAATAAAAGCAGCAAAAGAACTTATTCCACTTCATTGGTAAGAGATATATAAAAATACCCACAGTTAAAGTATGGTATGGTAAAATGAAGAATAGTGATGTCCCGAACGGTTCGCCATGGACGGCGAACATATGTGGTAAACTTTGACCCTGTACCTCACAGTCAGCAGACACATTCCAGCCAATCAGCAGCAGACCCTCCCTCCCAGACCCTCCCACCTCCTGGACAGCATCCATTTTACATTCATTGTGAAGCTGCATTCTTAGTGAGCATTCGGGACATCACTAATGAAGAATATAAAATAAAAAAAAAATAGAAACCTTAATTTACAGGGGGACAATAAGGGAAGAAAAACACAGGAAGAGATGGGAACCTTTGGAAAAATCGTATACTAGTTCCCATAATAGGAATTGTTTGGGTACTATAAATTTGATCCAAGGGGAGGTTTTGTGAAGTTTTGCAACTACGGTGGTGGAAAAAGTTCTGATTCGATGGGGCGAGGGAGAAATAAATGTTTTATTTATTTAATTTTCCTCACTGTAGGTGGGGAATGCTCCCTTTGCTCTCCTTGCCATCCTGCCCCTTTTTCTTTTTTTCTTCAGGGAGGGGCTGGCAGTGAGTAAAAATGGCAACGAACAAGTATTTAGACGGAGGGGGATAATGATTGTAGGTGGTGGTTGCCATTTTCACCCTCCCCGATGGCTGCTCTCATCCTTCAGGGGAGAGGTTGGCGTCTAGTGGAGATGACTGGAAATAGGTAAGCTATGTAATTATTTAGGAGATGAAAAATAAAGAACTTTTGGCATTGACGAAATTAATGACATAAGCAGTAGTGATGTCCAGAACGGTTCGCCGAACGGTTCGCCACGGACGGCGAACATATGCGGTAAACTTTGACCCTGTACCTCACAGTCAGCAGACACATTCCAGCCAATCAGC